TCACTTGATTCTCAAAGCTATCAAGGGCCTCATACCTTCTACCTCAGAGGTCAACCACATAGAGTTGGCTAATCTGAGGAGGCCTGACCACGCCACCAACATGGGGTGGTGGGAAACCCATACTCGGGGTTGAATTGAGCCCAGTGAATTCCTGTAACCTTGTTTAACAAATAAGGGGGAGGTGTTACGGTGAGCTCCTGGACACCCTTTTGTCCCCCCTTTCCTAGGGCCTCTGTGGCTCTGATCAAGATAACCCCTGAATCCTCCCTCCTGCCCCAATGGGGTTGGCGGGGAGCCAGGAGAGCCCACCCTGTCCAAAACCTATATAGACCCCTGAAACTTCCTGCTCTCTCTCTTTTGCCCTGCTCTCCATGGACACCACAGAATAAAGAGAGCTGTTCCAACACCCTGGGTAAGGAGCCTCTTCTGAATACCTTTCCCTCCCATGCTATTTCCTCCCCTCACAGCCCCATATCTCTGAGCTAGTCGGATTCATTCGGGGGGCTGCGTGGAGGGGGGGAAAACCAATAGAAATAACACCTATTATGCACCTGTTATGATTTTGCTGTTTATAGTGCCAATTCTTCATATGGTGCTTAGATCTTTAAAGATAATATGGATGAAATCAGTGCTCTGTGTTGAAACCCTCCCACCATCACCTCAAGTGAGTTGCTAGGGATGGTCTCTATCGACAAATTGTGTGTTTCAAAGATTTTTTGTTTTTTCTTTTAAATATTACCATTTTCTTTTAGATACAAAATCAATCTCCTGATTAATCTTTCTTAATAATTAACTAGTCTAGAATTTTGTTGGTTATGTTTTATTTCTAAAACTTTCATTACAGTAGAGCACACAGCACACACACTTGACTGATACACAGAACAAGAAATCTGCTATAGCCCTCTATATGTAGCACCAATGTTTTAGGTGTTTGCTGCAGAGAAATCTACAACCCTACCAAAAGCTTGTATGCTCTAGAGATTATCCACTACTGACAATTTTGTTTTATACACTCTAGGAGGTGGGATAAAAATTCAACATCTTATCCTTTGCTTACAAATCATTTCTTTACCATTTTTGGAATTCACTGTGTAGAATTGGTTCTGATAGTAAGTGCCTTTTGAAAGAGTAATGGAAATGCAATATTGCAAAAGTCACTCCTTTAACAAACAAACAAACAAAAACCAACAATAACTTCCCCACAAACAGAGGCTGAAAAGGAATTCAGGGTCCTTTGTTTGACTTGAAGAAAAGATCACTCAGCAGTATGAGTGGGGAAGGGGAAAAATCAGAGTTGTGATGTGTTTTGGGGTCACGAACCCATATCCTATTCTCTTAAGAGAGTCTTAATACCTTGACTGTAGATGATTCTGGGTCGTTATAATTTGCTAACAATATTTTCAGATTCTGGGGTCCACAGAAGAGCTATTTTCTCTCAGAGGGCTTATTTCAGTCATTACCGTGTTCCATGAATATTTGTTGCATGTCACAAAGGTGAAGTGCTTTGCAAAGGAGTCCCATAGGCAGTTTCTAGGCCCTTTGTGACTCAAAAAGCCTCTCTAATGATCTGTCAAGTGGACTTTTCATAGATTTTGTTGTTTTATCATTTAGGTCAAACCTAGGATTTAAATAACTTTGCTTATGCACATTGTCTAACCTCTTGAGTGGAAGTGGATGAACAACATTGGAATTACCCACCTTGGTGAGTGAGTGCTTTGTTTAACTGAAAGAATGAAACTGCAAATGAATCTCCACAACTATGATTTTTGGAGTGCTTTAACTATTGACTGAAGTACAAAAGAGATGACATGCTGAAGTGTTGTGTCTTTCCTCTGTCCTTTTCATTTTGAAGGAAGGTGGCAGTTGGCACTGTAGGTTTGCAAGAACTGATCTAATGGTGTTGCAAAGGCCGTGTGCTCTAGACTGAATACCTCCATTCTCCATCTGCCTTTCCTCTTGATTGAGTCCAAGATGGTGAAAAAATGAACCACATACTGAGTCACTCGGTCTTGCCAAAAATGGCATCCTCTGTAAAAGCAAATGCAACTCTTAGGTCTGGGGAATTTGATGTGGAAAAGAGTCATACCTCTAAAGTTGTTGACAGCAAGGCAGGTAATCTGGGGTCTTCAGTTTTGGACTTTTAAATCCCTCTTTAATCCTACTTCCAAACATAGAATCCTTTTGTGGATTTGGGCTTAAATTATTTCTAGCAGGAAGGACAGTTCAACACTGAAATTGATTTTATTTAACAAGGTTGTGTAATTTCAATTATCAGATGTTTTTTAACTTGTATTAGAGGTCTGTCATGATGGATTTATGTGAAGTAGTCTTTCTTGGAGCAAGGGTTGAACAGGACAGGAACTTAACATCACTTCTAGCCCTACTTTCTGTAATCTATACTTAGAATCAAGCATTAGCTGTTCTGTTCTGACATGAATGGTTTGTAGTTCGCTTGTTTCTGTGGAATGTAGGTTGAAAATAAAGAAAAAAAAATCTGCTGAGCATTATTGTTGGTCTCTCAAGTTTTGAAGTCATAAAGTAAGCATGCAAGGCTGTCATAAAATTGATTTGAAAACTCTGTTTCACTGTTTACTGAAGGACACATGTTCCATACTGATTTATATGCTATGAAGTTATGCTTAGGTGTATTACATGCTCTGGAGTAAAGCCACTGAGACCAGTTAAATTCTGTGGATTAATGAAGATACAATTGAGAGTGGAATTTGACTCATTGACTTTTCTGGGACTGTATAAATATTAATTGGGAATGGTTTTGTTCATACAAGTGTGATTGAAAACAATACTTAAATGCATAAGTAGCTGAATACAAAAATTCTGTGTGAGACCACTAGGCTAGGAATGACTACTGTAGAATGAACAAAAATACTGTAACTGTGCCCATTGCCTGGAGAAAAAATCTTACCATGTTTGCTTGCTTCTTCTCCTGAAATATGTGGTCCTAACTAAATGCTATGGAGTTAATTTCAAATGTGTCTCCCTCAACATGCTTCCTTAAATTTCTGTGAAAGAAAAACTTGTATTTAATAAGTGGCTTTGATCCACAAGTTCTTTAGAGTGAGAAGAAAAGTACAAAAATTTTTGATGGCCTGTCCAAGAGTAGAGTTGAATGGCAAACTTCTGGTAATGGTATAGTCAGGACTAATTAAATTGGAGTACTAGCTACGGTCCTTAAACTGTAGCACTCCTTCATTGTGTTTGCCAGGTATCAGAAAGTGAGAAGAGTTTAGCCTGGTCAACAATTGATTTTATAGATAAAGGTGCATTTGCCACTTAGTAGGTGGCTCTCTAAATAAGAAAATGAGCTTTGGGTCATTTGAGTTCTGCTGCTAGTCTCTAATAAGGAAAAAAAGTTGTTTGTTACTATTTTAGTTGCTAGAAATTCATGCCAGTCTTTATAAAGTTTCTTTGTTGTCTTGAAAATTCTGTATTTAGAGAACTGATTAAAAATTAGTTCATACACAAATACACACATTTTAAATCTGGGACCTAGGTCTCCCTTTTTGTATACCAGTGAGCTGACACAGGTGTTAGAGTTGATGTGAGATATGCTTCTGATTGTCCCCTATCTTGCATATGCAAGATCAAACCTATTAAGAACTTTAAAATTTCAGGATGTGTTTCTTAAAGATGAATTCTTGAGATAATTTATTACTGCCTTCCATTTTAATTGACTATAAAAAGTAATGGAATTATTTAAAGTAATTTTTCTCCTGCAGTGGAATTCAAATAGCTAAATATTCTTCTCATCTCTCTGTGGCAGACTGATCCTGGCTGGGCAACAGATGTCCATCAAAGCTGCTCTATTACTTATCTGGGTAGAGGAGAGAAGGTTCATGGGTCGAGATAGGGACCAGGAGAGACCACTCACCCATTATGAGACAGGGAAAAATAGACTTGACATGGGGAAATTAGTTTAGTTTATTACCAGTCAAATCAGAGTAAGATAATAAGAAATAAAATCAAAACTTGAAAACACCCTTCCCTTCTTCCTGGGCTTAACTATCTCTTCCACATGAGCTGGTACAGGGGAATGGGGAATGGGAATTGTAGTAAGTCATCATGTGTTGCTGAAACTCTATCTTTGTCAAGGGGAGAATTCTCTTCCCCTAATTCAATGCGATGTCTCTCCCATAGGAGATAGTTCTCCATGAACTTCTCCAATGTGAGTCCTGCCACTGCAGTGAAGGCCGCAGTTCTTCATGAGCTAATCCAGTGTGGGGCCCTCCCACAGGGTGCAATCCTTGAGATACAGCCTACTTCAGCATGGGACCCCCGTGAGGCCACAAGTTCTGCCAGCAAAGCTGATGCAGTGTAGACTCCTGTCTCCATGGATCCACGTGTCCTGCCAGTATCCTGCTCCAGTGTGGGCTTCTCACAGCCTCCTTTGGGCACTCATCTGTTCTGGCATGAGCTCCTCTATGGACTCCAGGTGGATTGTTGCTCCACCCTGGACCTCCATAGGCTGAAGAGGCACGTCCTTCCTCACCGTGATCTTCACCATGTGCTGCAGGTGGATCTCTGCTCCACCATGAACCTTCATGGGCTGCAGGGGCACAGCCCCCTCATCATGATTTGCACCACAGTCTGCAGGGAAATCTCTGCTCCAGCACCTGGAGCACCTTCTTCTCCTGCTTCACTGACCTTCACGTCTGTGGAGCTGCTTCTCTCATGTGTTCTTAGCCCTCTCTTCTTTGGCTGCAGTTGCTGATGTGCAGGAATTTTCCCCTTTCTAAACTATGTAATCCCAAAGGTGCGACATCCCATTGATGGCCTTGACTAACAGCTGTTCCATCTTGAAGTCAGCTTACATTTGCTCTGTTGGATGTGGGGGAAGTTCTTAAGGTTTCTCCTAGAAGCCAATCCTGCATTTGCATCCCACTACCAAAACTTTGCCACACCAACCCAACAGTGACTCTCTGCTTCTTCACCCAGAATCACTTTATATCTTCCACTCCATGTGTTCCTAAGATACCTAACCTTCTTGTGTTGTTGTGTTTTTTAAACAGCCCAAAGATAAATTACTGTCATTAAAGACAAATCCTAGACATGTGCCTGACCCATGAAGTGTCTCACTCATCGAAAGAAAACAAGGCTGTGAGCAAAACACCGACCTGGCACCTTGGGAAAAGCCAACAGGAGCTCTAGAGGCTGAAGGAGGGAGATAGATTTATTAGTTACCCAGAGAGCCTCCTGGCCAATGCAAGGTAATCCTCCATTTTCTTATACTTTGTTTCATCTAAATTTAGTCACCCTCAAAATACGGAATTTCTGCCATTTTTGCTGGAAGACTATAACAGGTTAATACATCTATCATAGAAGAAGTTTTTCATGGTGTTCAGTGTAAATTATTTCACAGATGAAATATACCTTGCTGTCAGGGAACAGCCTAAATTTTCACTTTCTTAATTTCATCCCATTACTCCTCGTTATACCCCTTGTACCAATCTAAATAATTCATCATCCTTCTTAATGTTTATACCCTTCAAATATTTATAGGCAGTTATCACATCTTCCTTTAGTCAGAGTTTAGCTGAGCTGTTCGTATTTAGACCTTTTAATCTTTCTTCATAAGAAAATCCTCCTACATGAGATTGAGGGGCCTGATCCTCAAAGGTATGTAGGTGCCTGTCATTGACTTGAGCAGAATTGTGGCCTAGATATTAGTGCCATTAGGCAGCAGGTTTTCTTCTCCTCTCTGAATTACTAATAATTTTTCAGTATTAGATTCTAAAGGGTACAGAAGTGAATGTGATATTCCAGGAGCATTATGGCCAGTCTTCCCTGGTTTGCTGGGTCTTGTATCACCTCAGTATGCACATCCCCCAGGGTGCATTGTGCCTCTTGCTCTCACACAGAATTGCTAATTTGTATCTATGGTAGTGCTCAGTATTGCCCTTACTTGCTTTCTAGACCTCTATATTCCAGATTTCTTTCTAGTGAATTCACTATTCAGTGTGTGTGAGTACATACATTTATTATAGATGCATACATATATAAAAAAATGGTACTTACTGCCCATCATCTGAACATAGATGAAAATTAAGAAGTTCTGCTGAATTTTAATCTCTATATCACTACGCTATATCGTTTTCGAGCTTCATATGGTGGCATTAATCACTACTCTTTGTTTACAGATTTTTTCAAACAATTTATTGTCCATGTAACTCTGCTCATATCCAAGCCAATTTGAATTAAGATCGTAAGGCAGAATCCCTATATCAAATGCTTTACTAAAATCCAGCTACAGTAAATCTACTGCAAGACGTATTTTGTTATTTTCAGTGTCTCTTAGGTCCCTGGGGTAAAAGTTTTTGTTTGAATCTTCCATTTTTGTCTTGTGCAGTATGAATTATTAGTGGTTATGGTTTCTGGGCTACCACAACTGGAAAAACTCTCTCATTCCAGTTAGAAATGGAAATAGTCATCCCATATTTAGCCTCAGGATAGACTGAATTTTTTTAAGTACAATTTCTGCCATCACAAAAGAGTTTGGACATACAGGTGTAGGTCTGGAAGCAGTCAGATCTGGACAGATCAGCACTCATCAGCATCAGATAATGACTGATTTTTTGTGGGCTTAACATGAAATATTTTTAGGTTTTATTCTTTTAGTCCTTTTTGTCTAAATTAAGGAAATAGTTAAAGCAAATATTTTGAAATTAAAATCAAGTACTATGTAAATGTGTAAAAGCAACTTTGCTTTTGAGTGGATAAAACTAATAACCACATTTGAGTGAATTTTGAGAGATTTCTTGGCTACAACAAAGTTTTATCTGAGTAAATAGCTTTTGTAAAACTCTACTTCCATTTTGTGTCTGGCAAATGTGAAATCAAATCTTGGAGCTTGCTACTGCTATTTTAGATGCCACAGTCCTGGTGCAGAGTGACGCTACGTCAAAGCCTGTATATCACCCACAAGCCTGCCAGACTGAGCTGTCTCTCCTTTGCTTGTTTTTCTGACAGTGTTTGGGTGGTGGATTTAGAATTTTTTCCTGAAAGGGCTTGATGCTTGTCAAGCCTGTAAAAAAACAAGACTTCAAAATATTACATGGTAGTAGCACCAAATCTGAATGACTTTCCTAAGGCTGACTTAGCTCATCTATGCTATTTTTCTGGATGACCTTGTTTTATTGCTGGGAGCACATTTCTCTTTGTAGTATTCAATACAATGGATTTATCATCTTTCATCTCTCACTATTTCACATTTGCTTATTCTGAATCCTATGATAGAGATTGTCATCTACAGCAAAAGTATTTTACTGAAGACCCGTTTCAACCTTCTACAGAGCTGCTGTGCATTATTTTGAGTCTATACACCATTGCCTTCCAGAGGTATAGAATTTCAGCTTCAGTCCTGCAAAGCTGGATTGTTGTTAGTTTTGTGATTTTCTGGCATCACATGAATTCATTACATGAATTCTTCTGTTGTTTAAACTACTCCCCAGAAAGTTGTATGCCCATGTGATATGCAACTATGCATGTACATGTCCTACCAGAGACACTTGTACTCTGCCTCTTTCTTCGCAAGGAATAACATGTGAGGAACTATTTTAGGTTACATTATCAAAAGAAAGCTTTTGATGGTATAAAACCTGGTTTTCCCAGGCAATGTTGGCCCACATAGCTCTCCTGAGAAATCTTTCTAATTGTAGGCAAGCCACTTCTGCGTGACCTTTAGTGGAAGCAAAGTGGACAATACAGAAAACAAAACTCAGAATCTTCTATGAGAGAGTGAGCACCTAGATGGGCTTCATGCTGGCTTGGACCAAGCTGGACCATTCAGACTTGGGAAATAAGGAATTTTATTTTTTTGGTTTTTAAACAGTAAGCAAAGCAAACAGAAAAGGAATAGCACCTCCTAAGACTGATGTTCTACTACTTAATATCCACTTTTTTTCCTATTATAATTTTATACCTCTGCAAATGTGGAGTGCTGGTGAATCAGGCCCGCGGTGTTCCTCTGACTGCCTGTAATGATTAAAAAAATACCAACAGAGACAAAGTGTTCAGGAATCAAGGAAATAAAAATGATCTTACACATTTATAACATTAAAAATCACTAAGATGAATGTTTTGCAAAAGCCAGTTTATTTCAAAGTTATATTCCAAGCTCTGAAAAAAGGGCTATATCTTTCCAAAATGTGATTAATTTATTTTCTGTATGTTAGGGATTTGATTTCATTAGCCTATTTTTTTTTTACTGTTTTGAATTCAAAACTTTCAATTTTAATAAAATAGGAATGGCAGGAACTTTATATTTATTTATTTATTTATTTATTTATTTATTTATTTATTTATTTATTTATACTTTCTATTCTCTTATTAGAATAATAGCGTTAGTTTCTTTAGTTCTAGAAAATGAATAATGACACCAATTATTGATCTTGTGACAGGTTAAGAAGAATATTATCTCAATACATACTACTCAGCTTGACCTTTTATTGACTTGACCTTCAGCTTTTCTGAGAAACAAAATTAGGACACCTACATAACTTTGTGCTGTGATTTTTAAATTCTGACATAATTTGGATTATAATTTTGAAATTTATAAAAGAGTAATCTATCAAATCATCAGTAACACAAGCAGATAAGAGTCAAGACAGGCTTTAGTCAATGACATAACATAGCAGTTGGAGATTTGGGATAGGAGATTTTTGTTGATTTTTGTATTATTTTTGTTAAGTTTCACCTAAAAGGAAAAAGATCCTTTAGCAAAGAGGACATGAACAAAGGAATAGGCAAGCCTTCCAGTCCAACAAAAATTGTGGGTTAGTTAATATTGTCTGAATTTCAATCCCCAATTCCACTATGCCCCAAAATATTTTTTCTTGCTTCCTTGTGGAAAAGGTTATTCTAGTTTGGCTTTTGCTGCAGAAAACCTACTAAAAACCAGCTTAATAAAAATAAGTTCTATATGATGAAGATGAGAGTCTGCAAATAGTGGAGCGTAAACTAGTGCAATCTAAAATATTGTAAAAAAGGTACCTTGGTTCCCTGTAGGTCTTGTGGTAACACCAAGGTCATCCATCCATCCATCCATCTATCTATCTATCTATCTATCTATCTATCTATCTATCTATCTATCTTTCTATCCTATATGTTTCCATTTTTATGCTATCAGAGAAGGAGCTAGACCTGAAAGGGTGGAGCAAGTAACACATCAACTTATGTGGGAAAACAGAGGATTATGAACACAAGTGCATGCACCCTGGTGGGAAAGGGCACGTCTCCTTGAGAACATGTGAAAATGTCTTCTAGTAAGAGAATGCCTACAAAAATGAAGTATGAAATTGCTGCAAATTGAGCCTTGCCTAGATTTGGGGTAAAACATATTAATCAAGACTGTTTTTCATGAAATATGTAGACTTTACAATATTCATAACAGTCACAAAAATAGTGCTAATCTTGTTGACCTCTAAGCCTGATCTGTGTTAACAATGGAAGGCTACTCCTGCTATCAGTCTTTCATCTGAAACAGCAGAGGTTCCTGTGACTGATACGAAGGTTACAACCCTACTCATGAGCACAAGGGATAAATTCTCTTTCATAGTTTGCCCTCTTAAAAACCATGGCAACCTCACACATGCACAACTCCAAGCTAATAAACAAATATATCCATGTGAAAAGACAGTGAAGTTGCAAAAAATCTTGAGATGTGTGAAAACTAGAAAATGTCAGAAGTAATCTGTTAGTACAAATTTTGTGTGCTCCAGTGCACACATGCTTAATATAGTGGCCTGCTTGTGTGTTCAAATACTACACTTTTCTTAGGACTTCTGACTTATATTTAAAATTGGCCTATCTAAAAGACAAGTGAGGAAAATGTAACAAAGAACATTATTCCCCAGAAGTGCTTTGCTTGTTGTCTATATTCTTGTAAGTGTGCTTAGTGAATCAGATGGGCAGTTGAAAGGAGAAAAACTATAGTTTCTTGGGTTCTATCCTTGAGGCTGTAGAAATGCACTTTCTTCGTCCTTCTGCCATGAAAATCCTATATGATGTTAGGTGAGGGGATTTCAAGTCGTTCTTGTTGCAGCTAGCAAGGAATTTTCTACTATTGTTTCTTGCATGCCACTAACAGTCTAAGATGGGAGCATGCTCAGCTGAATTTCTTGGAGTTGTGCTATGAACATAAGTGGAGTGTTGTGGAGTGTTGGGCACATTAGAAAAAAGTGTTCAAGTGTGGAGTCTAAAGTCAAGTAAC